GTGAAGCACTAAGCAACTCAGCGAGACCCTGTCTCTAAACAAAATACAAAATAGGGCTGGGGATGTGGCTCAGTGATTGAGTGCCTCTGAGTTCAAGCCCCAGTACCCGTCCCTCCCCCCCCCAAAAAAAGAGTGAACCCTGAGCCAGGAGCCATGACACCTGCCTGTAATCTCCCAGTGGCTTGGGAGGCTGAGGATCCCTAGTTCAAAGCCAGCCTCAGCAACCCTAAGCAACTCAGCAAGACCCTGTCTCTAAGTAAAATATAAAAAGGGGCTGGGGATGTGGCTCAATGGTTAAGCACCCCTGGGTTCAATCCCCCCCAAAAAAAGTGAACCCTGAGCTAGGGATATAGCTCAGTGGTATGGCACTTGCCTACTGTGTAAAGGCCCTGGGTTCTATCTCTAGCACTGAAAAAAAAAAAAAGTGAACCCTAACATAAACTATGGACTTCAGTTGATAATGATGTGTCAATATAGGCTCGTCAGTCATAGCAAACATACCACTCCGGTGGAGAATGTTGATAATGGGGGGTGTGGGGAGAGAGGGCATAGGAGAATTCTCTCTACCTTCTGCTTAGTTTTGATGTGAACCTAAAATTGCTCTTTAAAGAAATTAAGTGGGTGCTGGGTGTGATGGTGCCCACCTGCAATTCCAGTGGTTCAGGAGGCTGAGACAGGATCACAAGTTTGAGGCCAGCCTCAGCAACTTAGTGAGACATTGTTTAAAATGAAAAATATAAAGGACTGGGTATGTGGCTCAGTGGTAAAGTACCCCTGGGTTCAATCTTCAGTAGAAGGGGAAAAAAATAAGTGGTTTATTTTTGGTTTTGTTTTTTGCAGTGCTGGGAATCAAACCCAGGACCTCACACCTCACACATGCTAGGCAAACACCCCGTCCACGTCTTTTTTTTTTTTTTTTTAAGCATCAGAACCTTTTCTTAGTGATACCAATCACTTTCTACCTGGTATTGGAGTTATTTGGATGAAGAACTTTCTTCCCTGGTAGCGGGAGCTTCTGGAGGGGACCACATGTCCCCTTTACCTCTTAAATGTTTGACAAGTAACATATTGATAGGTTGAAAAAAAATAATCTTTCTAGAAATTAAGGTATGACTATTAAATTTTTTTTAAAGCCAAAACTCAAACCCAGCTTTGTCAGCCCTTTGGAAAAACATGCTGTTACGGACTGCTTTGTCTTTCCCCAAATTCATGTTAGACTCAACCCCAAGTACTTCAGATTCCTTACTTGGAAACAGGGCTGTTGCAGATGTAATTAGTTAAAATGAGGTCATTAGGATGGGCCTTAATCTGTTATGACTGGTGTCCTTATAAAAAGGGAGCATTTGGACACAGAGAAGTTCATGTGAAGATGAAGGCAGAGGACAGGGTTATTCTTTTTTTTAATATTTTATTTTAAATATCTATGAACACAATACCTTTATTTTTATTTGTTTTGATTTTTATGGGGTGCTGAGGATTGAACCCAGTGCCTTGCACATGCTAGGCGAGCGCTCAACCGCTGAGCCACAACCTCAGCCCCAGGGTGATTCTTCTACAAGTCAAGGAACACCAAAAACAGTCAGCAACCCACCAGAAGAAAAATCAGGGGCATCCAGCAGATTCTCCTTCACAGCCCTCAGGATTATCAGTCCAGCCCTTGGCCTTGGACTTCTAGCTTCTAGAACTAAGAGACAATAAACTTGTGTTGTTGAAGCCACCCAGGTATGGTACTTAGTTATAGTGGCCCCACAAACTACCACACATGCCCACTTATATTTCCCTTGTGGAACTGGAGACCTGGCTGGGCTTCCTGGAGAATAGCCCTGTGATAAGTAGCAAGACCTACCAAAGGAACAAGTTATTGATATATGGAGCTTGGATAACTCTCCAGTGAATTATGTTGATTGAAAGAAGCCAATCTCCAAAGGTCACAGCATTACTTAACTCCATTTACATAATATTTTTGAAATGAGAAAATTATGGAAATGGAGATTAGGTTAATGGTTGCCAGGGGTTAGGATCAGAGACACAAGCGAGGGAGAAAAGTGGGTGTGGGTTATAAAAGGGCAACAGAAAGGACCCTCGTGGTTACAGAGCTGCTGTCTTTCACTGTGGTGGTGGACAGTTGAATCTACACGTGATAAACTTGTATAGAACTAAATATGCACACAGGCCCACAAGCCCAGGCACACATATGAATGAGTACAGGAAAACTGGGGTGATCTGAATAAGATTGGCAGATTTTGTCAATATCAATATCCTGGTTGTAAGCTGGGCACCATGGTGCATGCCTGTAACAATCCCAGCAGCTCGGGAGGCTGAGGAAGGAGGATCACGGGTTCAAAGAAAGGCCCTAAGCTATTCAGTGAGACCCTGTCGCTAAATAAAAAATATAAAAAGAGCTGGGGATGTGGCTCAGTGGTTAAGTGCCCTTGAGTTCAATCCCTGGTGCCTTTCCCCTCCCCAACAAAAAGAATCCTGGTTGTGATAGTGTACTATAGTTTTGCAAGATGTTACCAATGGGGGAAAGTGGGGAAAACTTACATGGAATTCTCTCTGAATAATTTTTTACCAGTATGTGTGAATGTACAATGATCTCAAAATAAAACAATTAAAAAATTACTTCATACAAGAATGTTCACAGAAGTCTCGCTGAGAACAGAAGTTTGGAAATAACCTAAACTCACCACAACAGAGACCAGCTGAAACCATGGGGACTGAACTCCAGGGGATATTGTCTAACTCTGAACAATGACAAGCCTGGGGACCCAGTAGATACTAAGAGCCACCAATGGCTCAACATTCAATGAAAAAACGGATGACAGATGTTGCAGCAGGTTCTCCCTGAGCCACCCTGTGAAAAGCTATGACTGTCCATTGGCAGAGAATAATTCAGAGGGTCAGTGGGATGGGGACCATTTAGAAGTCAAATGGATTAATTCTCTCTCTCTCTCTCTCTCTTTAACACTAGCTCAGTTCCAAAAAAAAAAAAAAAAAAAAAAAAAAACCAATGAAGTGAAATAAAATCTGAGTTTGGACATCCTCCAGTTGCTGGCTTTTCCTTTCATCTCCAGCAGGTGGCAGAAGCGTTCCAAGAATGGTGTCATCTCTGCCAGGGTCTGTGGAAGGTCCAATGGTTCTCACCAGCAGGTGGGGGCTCTGAGCATCAACCTGTGAACTCAAGGACCCCCGGGCATCGGAACTGGCCTCTCTGAAATTCAGGGCAAGAAGGCAGTTGTCTGGCCATGACAGGGTTAAGAGTCCACATTCCAGAACAGGGGAAAAGGAGGTGGGGGGCCTGAGGTCCACAGACAAAGGGAGGGGGCAGAGAGGGCCAGCTTCTCACAACATCCAGGCTCTGTTGGGAGAGATAGATCACCCCCAACAATGGCCACAGCTGTTTTTGTCTGCCCTGAGGAAACTGACTTAGGAAGCAGGTATCAGTGAGGGCCCTTCCTGCAGGGGCTTCTGTCTGGCTTGTAAAACTGTCAGAGCAGCTGCATTCATGTGTTGGGTGATGGATGATGAAAAGAAGGAGGACAGTCAGCAGGCCGCAGATGGACACAGTGACTTACAAGTTGAGGCAGGTGGTAAAGGCCTTGCGGAGGCCCTGCAGGTGGGGCACGCTGATTCATTGCCCAGTTAACATACCAAGGCGATCGGGCCAAGCCTTCTTCCCAGCCTCCCTCCAGGGCTAGGGCGGCCTCCAACTACGTTCCCCAATGAAAGCTTCCGCTGGCCCTCCTTTCTTTTCTTGCACCTCAGGTGTGAACCTTCCTGCCCACACCTCTACCCCTCCCTGTGTCCCTCTTTCTACTCCAGGGTTTCTTTGTGCCTAGATAGCCCTGGGATGCCTTCCTGGAACATACCCATGCTATATACCACTAAAGTCTTCCATATTGAACACAAAGCTGGTTTTGAAAAATGTAAGGGGTTGGGAGACAGGGAAAAAAAAATGTCAGCACTAAAAAATGCTGGCTTTGGCTTTTGCTAAGAAAAGGGATTCTGTGTTGTCCACTCCCACCCAGGGCCTGGCCAGGGAAATAACTGCTTGGCACATCAGCCTGTGAGCTGCTGTGAGCCACAGTGAGAGCCCCAGCAGAGAATGCCTGTGGTAGGTGTGCTGGGTCCCTGAGGAGCAGGAAGTGAGAGTTCCACTTTTTATTCCATCACCAGAGCCCTTGTGACCTTCTCCTCCTCAACTTGTCATCAGAATCCCACCATCTTGTCCAAGTGGGCACCCTTGCTGTGATCCTCCAAATTTCTCTCTTGACTTGCAGAGAAAGCTCTCTTGGTCAGGATAATCAGTGCCCAACCTCATGGAGATGAAATCAATGAGATTTCTTTAAAAAGCAGCCTTCTTGGGGATTGGGTGCTTGCCTAGAATGCACGAAGCTGTGCTTCTGATCCCCAGCAAAATACACACACACACACACACACACTCACAAAGTATCCTTTGGCTCTGACTGGGTCAGCGGGAGCCAGACACCCCTAGGTCTGTTTGTCGGTGGGGTGACAAATGAACTTGGCCTGAGAAATGGAATGAGCTGGGCTCAGCCCTGTGGAGAACCCAGAGTTGCACATTTTCTTTGTTAAGCTGGTCCGCAGTTTGTTTTGAGAATGTCCGAGGGGCCCACAGAGGGAGCCGATTAAAAGCGAGAGCTCATTTTGATATCTGAAAACCACAGCCACTGCACGTGGGAGGTGCCTGGAGAGCAGGCTTGGGCCCTGCCTCACACGCCCCCCTCTCCCTGGGTCACCTGGGAGTGCCAGCAGCAATTTGGAAGTTTGCTGAGCTTGAGAAGTCTTTGGGGAGGGCTTGCTCTGAGCACACCCCTTTCCCTCCCCCGGGGTTGAGGGAAACATGGGACCAGCCCTGTCCCAGCCTGTCCTCATTGGCTGGCATGAGGCAGAGGGGGCTTTAAAAAGGCGACTGTGTCTAGGCTGGGGACTGGAGCCTGTGCTACTGGAAGGCTGGGTGCCCTCCTCCAGCTGGCACCATGCAGCTCTCTCTAGCCCTGTGTCTCGTATGCCTGCTGGTGCACACAGCCTTCCATGTGGTGGAGGGTCAGGGATGGCAGGCCTTCAAGAATGACGCCACGGAAATCATCCCTGAGCTCGGAGAGTACCCTGAGCCCCCGCCAGAACTGGAGAACAAGACCATGAACCGGGCGGAAAACGGAGGGAGGCCTCCCCACCACCCCTTTGAGGCCAAAGGTATGGGGTGGAGGAGAGAAATGGTAGCCTAAGGGTCTTGGGGGTGGATCTGGGAAGATTTTAGAATCCTCTCTTTGGAGGCTTTGGAGACTGAGGTAGAAGTCAGCCATAGGTGCTGGGAGGCTTGCCTGGAGACAGGGGAAGGGTTGCCATTCCCCACCCCCATCCCAGCCTCAGTGTACCGGCAGGGCTGGTCATGAGAGCCAAGGGCAGGGAGGGAGGAGGCTGGGATGGAGAGTTAGGACAGATTTAGGGGTTCCAAAAATGGCTCAAATAATCCTCTCCTGAGAATTCAGGAGTCAGGTCCAGCTGCTGGCACCAAGGAGGGGTAGTGGCACCTGCTGGATGCCAGACACTGGCTGCACACATCCATCTCGTGGAAGTCCCAGGAGGTGAACTCCCAGCTTGAGGGCAAAGAAACCGAAGCTCCAAAAATTAAGTCACAGCCTAGCAGAACTGAGATTCGAATCCAGTTTGATGCAAACCCAAGACAGTCCTGGTCGGGGAGAGTGGGGATGTGGGTGGGGACTGAGACCCCTCTTCTTTTGAAGCAGTGGGAAAGGGAAGCTACAGAGGCCCCCTTCAGCGCCACTTGCCCAGAGGTCTGGCACTTGAAGGAAGGGGAATTGTAGGTGCAGTTTTAGCATCTGACATGGGTGGCAGCTGAGTCCAGGTCCTGGAGGAGAGGCCGTATCCCCTGTGCAGCAGTGGACATAGGTGGCACCATCTGTCCCAGGCCTTTGCCCCAGACAAGTTTTGCCTTATTCCTGGGGAGGGAGCCTGACCCTATGAGAAGGCAATGGGCCTGGAGGAGGCTGAATTGGGGTTCCTGGTCAGGTCTGCAAGAGAAGCGGGGTAGGATGGGGCTGCACAGCTGGCTCTGCACCTGGCAGGGATGGCTGGGGTAGGGGCTGGAATGACGTTTCAGAGGGCCTCACTGCTCTCTGGCTGCTTTCCATGTGCCAGAGGGGCCCACTGCCCAGGCTGCTGCTGCCTGCCACCCTTCCCTGCCTCACAGCCTGCAGGGCTTGTGGGTAAAGGGACCCTACGGGAGGCCAACCAGGGTTTGTATCTTCTAAAATGAGAGAGGGGGACAAAACACCCTCCTCCTCAACTCCCCACATATACAGTCAGCCGAGCTTAAATGACTGCTTACACGGATGTAGGGGACCCTGAATACAAGAAGCCCACTTCCCTGGGATCCCAAGAAAGGTCACAGCCCCTGAGGAAGCCAAGCACTCAAAACAAAGTCTTGCTTTGCAGAGGAAATGCCTGACCTTGGGGCACTATTGGAAAGCCCCCAAACACCTCTTTCCTGGGCAAATAGGTCACCCCCACACAACACCCCTGAAGGTGTTGGTGAAGATACCAAACCAGGCCAGAACCAAGAAAGCCAGCCACAGGAGGTGGCAAAGTCCCACATATCCCCTGCTGGGCTTGTTCTCCAGGGTCTGGGACAGGACCCTCTCTAGTCTGGGTCACAGGATTCTTTTTTTTATCTTTTTGTGTCAAAATGGAACTGACCCTATGAAACCTTTGGGGGTGGACAGGTGCTCACATGAGGACCAGCTGTTCAAAAAGCTCTCACCCATCTAAACCTACAGTGGGTCAAGGTGTACACAGAGGTCCAGGCCAGGTCCCAGCAGGTTTCCTCCCACCCAGGGAGCAGGTTTGTATCATGATTAGGTGTCTATCAAGTGACCCAGAACAAGAGACGTGCCCAGCAGAGAGCCAGGTATACAGAAAGTGCTTAATCAATGTTTGTGGCAGCCGAAGGTATAGGCTTTGGGTCACAGCTCTCTCCTTCTCTGGTAATTTGTAAAAATCAGCCCTCTGGACCCTCTCCTCCAGCTCAGTCTCCCATGGATGCCTGAACAAATCGCTTCCACCCAAGAAGGAGCCAAAAGGTGCTGAGCCCCTAAAGAGGGGAGTCAGGAGGCCCACTCTGTCTTTTGGGCAAGTTCTTGTCTCTCTCTGGATCTCAGTGTCCTCATTGGTAATGAGGGGGTTGGACATACTGCCTTTGGTTCCTTTCAAGTCTAATGAATTCTTATCCTGACCACCTGCCCTTCTATCCCTCTCCTCCCTAGCAGCTGTCCTGATTTATTGCCTTCAATTAACCTCTACTCCTTTCTCCATCTCCTGTTCAACCCTCCCAAGTGGCTGGAAAAGGAATTTAGGAGAAGACAGAACCATGCAGAAGGTGTGGCTAGTACTTACCCTGTTCAGGTCAGGGACCCTGCCACACAGGTGTGGCTTAAATAAAATCAGAAGAGGGCCTTTAGGAGGATAATAATAATACACAATGACAGTCAACATGTCCAGCTCTCCTCATGGGCTGCACAAATGGTATTCTGTGCATTCTATATGTAGTGGATTGATACACTGAATCCCAGGACAACCCCTTTTACAGACTGAAAGAGGAGAGGTTAAGTAAGTTGCCCAAGATCACTGGTGTAGTTAAGTGATGGTGCCTTGGTCGGATCCAGCAGTCACTTGCTCCAAGGAGAGCCCCAGATCTTCCCACCAGCTCCAGGAGTATCTGGGGCCTTCCTATCATAGGTGCACAGGTGCAAAATCCTCTGGAGGGGGCAGGAGAGGCAGGTTGGGAAAGTGGAGGCCGGGTGGAGAGAGCCGGACCGCGGCCCTGACGCGCGCTTCTCTCTGCAGACGTGTCCGAGTACAGCTGCCGGGAGCTGCACTTCACCCGCTACGTGACGGACGGGCCGTGCCGCAGCGCCAAACCGGTCACCGAGCTGGTGTGCTCGGGCCAGTGTGGCCCCGCGCGCCTGCTGCCCAATGCCATCGGCCGCGGCAAGTGGTGGCGCCCGAGCGGGCCCGACTTTCGCTGCATCCCCGACCGCTACCGCGCCCAGCGGGTGCAGCTGCTGTGTCCCGGCGGCGCGGCAGCGCGCTCGCGCAAAGTGCGCCTGGTGGCCTCTTGCAAGTGCAAGCGCCTCACCCGCTTCCACAACCAGTCGGAGCTCAAGGACTTCGGGCCCGAGACCGCGCGGCCGCAGAAAGGTCGGAAGCCCAGGCCCCGCGCCCGGGGCGCCAAAGCCAACCAGGCGGAGCTGGAGAACGCCTACTAGAGCCCGCCCGCCGCCCCTGCCGGCTCCGCGACCAGGCACACCCTGTTCATGCCCCCCGAGCGTGGTTCGATTGTTTGTATTTCATTTTTAAATGCCTGTAACTAGGGCAGGGAGCCGAAACCTCCCAGGCAGTGCGGAACCCCGGGTGCCCGCAAAGTCCCCCTCGCCCGCCCCTCCAGCGGGTCCCCCAAGGCAGGGGAGGGAGCCGAGAGTCAGACACTGAGCCACGCAGCCCTGCCCACCGGGGCCGCCTACCTTTGCTGGTCCGATTCAGAGGAGGCAGGAATGGAAGCTTTTTTTTTTTTTTTTTAACCACCCCGGGGCTTTAGGGAGCAGTGGGGAGTGTGGAAAGGTTGGGGACTGGTTCAGAGAGTTCGATAAAATTCCCCCTCCACCTCTCTACCCACCAGAAAGCCTGTGTGTGCCAAGAACACAGGACTAGGTATGGTTTCTAGTCTTGGATCTGCCATTAACTCGCAGTGTGACCTTGGACTACAGGATTCTCTTTGGGGACTTCAATAATCTCTTTGTAAAATGGGGGTGAGGTTGGGATTAGTATCTCCAGAACTATGTACTGTAACATGATCCCAAGTGCCCTTTGAATGGGCAGGCGGTGGCAAAAGAGAAGAAGGGGGGGGGGATTGGATTCATTCAGTGCCAATGCAACTTCCCAAATTCAGAGTTGTGTTGCTCTGGTCTGACAGCCCACATAGAAAACAATCAGGAAAAGAGAGTGTCTATTTATGGTTGACAAATTTCTGCAAGAAGCTGTGCTGCTTGCCAGCTTGGCCTCCCCAGATATTTGACTACCTCTGCCTGGTCCATCTCAAAGAAAGAAGAGGTAGAGAAGAAGAGGGTCCCAGAGATGATGAGAGAGACAGAGAGCCCACCCCCATTCCCAAAGAGCAGCGTCCCCCACTTGCCCCATTGCCACAATTTAAAGTCACCTTCTACAGAGAAGTTCAAGGTTAGAGGACCAGAAGAGAGCAGCCACCACCCATCGAAGACCAGCATGTCCCTTCCCAGGCATCTCCTGCTGCCCACCACTCACAGACATATTTCTGTCTAGAAAATAGTTTCTTACCGCTCCCACCTGTGATGGTTTATCTTACATTAAAGGAATATTATTGGGGGGCGGGTAACGAGTGCTGTACATACGCTGGGAAATTACAAAGCATAAGAGCTGCCACCCACAAATCTTTTTTTGAAAATCATTTCCAGACCCCTCTTACTTTCTGTATAGTTTTTAATTGTTAAAGGAAAAAAAAAAAAAAGAAAATCTTAAACAGAAGCATATGCCGTGTGAAAGCCTGTCGGGCTGGTTGTTTTGCAATCCTTCCACGTGGGATTTGTCCTTAAGAATGAAAGTAGTAGTTTTTAAAGAGTTAAGTTACATATTTATTTTCTCGTTTAAGTTATTTATGCAAAAGTTTGTCTTGTAGAGTGACAAAGTTAATATTGCTTTATAAAATACCAGTCTGTTCTTTCAGAGTCCAGAGGCATTGTTAATAAAGACAATGAATCCTTACCCAGAGGATGTGGTCTCATTTTGTCAACCACATACAATGTCATTTCTGTCAGGTAACACCCTTCTCATGGTCACAAGGCCCAAACCTTGTGAGGCACCTTTGACTGTTCTTTGGTGGCTCTTGTGGCAATTATGTCCTTCCTTTGAAAAGTCATGTTTGTTTCTTCCTTTCCAAACCTACACCTCATCCCTCACTGGGTCATTGTCATAACCTCATCATGGTCTCTCCCTTGAGCAGCCTGCCCTCCACACTGTCTTCCAAAAATGCTGTTCTCACTCCCGTGCCCAATCCTTCAACAGCTCCTCTTCCCAGGATTAAGTGTGGGCTCTCAGTTTGATGTGTCGGGTCTCCCTCCGCTTGATTCCCATCCCCCACTCTGCCAAGTGTCCCTCCCGACTCCAAATGGCCACACTGATCCCAGCCTCCTTAGTTCACAGTCTCTACTTACTACCCCAAGAATTCCTACTCTTTAGAGTTCATATTACATGTGACCTCTTCTCTGAACCTTCCAGAGATATTCCAGTCTCTGGTGAGCCTCTCTCCTCTGATGTCCCAGCCCCTTTGTCCACGCCACTACTTTGGTTTCTAATTCTAGGCCTTCCATTGGACATTCTTGCCCTGGCTATCCTGGCCAAGTGCTCCTTAGTGATGAGATAAACACAAAGGCAGTTACACCCCAGGGCCAATTCACAAGAAGCTCAGTGGAGCTTTCTTTTCCAAATGTGGATTTTCTGCTTCCAGTAAGATCTTCAAAAGAAGAGATAATGTCTGACATCTCCTTCAAAGGCTTGTCCTCCTGTGGTGCTTTCTAGTGCTGCATACTTCCTGGGACTCAGTAAATGCTCTATGATTGCAATAAGGAGGGATGGTCAACTGCAAAGTTTTCAATCAAGTCCAGCCTGTCTTGGGGAACCCCACCACCCAAAGTAAGCTCTAGTCCTTCTTCATGGCTTTTCCAGTTTAACTACCAACAACTCCATATAAATTATTTATCAGCATCAGCAATGGAGACATTGTCTGGCCTCAAGAGGCAGTGTGGTACAGTGGGCAGGGACACAGCCTCTGCAGCCAGGTTTGTGTTTGAGGAGACTGAGGCACCAAGGGGCTAATTGTTTCCCTGCAGCAGACCTGGGCTCATTTCCTGGCTCCCACACTCACTCAAGGTGCTCAGAGTCTGGTGGGTTGTGGGTGAATAGTCAGTTCACATAACAGGCTTAGTATCAAGTGCCCACAGGAAACTAGGAAGAGGAGCAAGTAGGAGCTGGGAGTGGAGTCAAATACTGTCAGTCATGACTGGAGAAGGGGCAATGAATGTCAAGGAGAAAGAGGCTGGTCCCTGTAAAGGTAGCATGGACTCCTTTGGGAAAGACTGATTTTTTTTTTACCGTTCTCTTACCCTATTTCCAATTTCCCTATAATCATCTGGAGTGCCTGATGGGGTGTTGCCTGTTAAAGAGGTCAGAATTGGCAGTCATCAGCTGTAGGTAGGAGAAGAAGCATCCTTGGGTGTGGGGGGGGAGAGCAGGAAAGGGAGGCGGACAGGTGAAAGACCCAGACCACAAACCTGCCCTGCCTGATGACACCCTGAGGGCCTATCTTGTCTTCACGTTTAATGCAGAGGCAGGAAAGATCAGTAGAGGGAGTAGAAGAAAGAAGAGGGTTCAGATGGACAGGAGAAGAGGAAAACCAACCCCTCGTGAAGTCCACAGTCCAGTGCTGGAAGAGAGGTGGGTATTAGATGGCATTATGATTTGGAATGGTTAAGTATGTCCCAACCACCGAGGCTTCATGTGCTGTAATTTAATCCCTGTTGTGAGGTGTTAAAGTGTAGAAATTGCCAGGAGTAGTGGGGCACACCTGTAGTCTTAGTGGCTCAGTGGGCTGAGGCAAGAGGGTTGCAAGTTCAAAGCCAGCCTCAGAAACTTAGCGAGGCCCTAAGTAACTCAGGGAAACCCTATTTTAAATAAAATATTTTAAAAGGCTTGGGATATGGCTCAGTGGTTAAGCACCCCCGGGTTCAATCCCTGGTACACAAAAAAAAGGTAGAAACTTAATCCAACTCTAGTGTTTATCAGTGGGGTTTTGAGGAAGTGACTGGGGTTAGGTAAAGTTCCTAGGATGGATCCCCATGATTGCATTCTGGTGACTACATAACAAGGGGAAAAGAGACATACATGCACACTTAATCTCACGTCATGTGATAAACCTCCTCAATACTGCCAGCGAGAAAGCCACCATCAGATTTGCCCCCCACCTTGGGCCTCCAGAATCATGAACCAAAACAGACCTCTTTTCATTGGAATGTATCAAGTCTGGATGATGTTATTAGTAACAGAAAACAGACAAAGATGGATAACAAATAAATGTATACCATAAGATCTGCGAATGAAAATTCTATAAATAAAAATACAGCTAGCCAGTGAGCAGATAGAGCCCTGCAGTGGCCAGGCCAGGCCCCGCTGAGGAGGTGGCATTTGAGCTGAGAGCTAAATGCAGTGAGGCATTGATGGACCCTATGAAGCCCAATGTGCAGAGAGAGAGAGAGAGAAAACAGCAAGTACAAAAGCCCTGAAGGCATGTACGGGGAGGGGAAGGGACACCGCTAATTGCCTTGGGTGTCTTTCAGACGTCTCCATGCCAAGGTTGCTAACCGGTGATCTGGAAGCCAGAGTAGTAATTATAATTATAGAGGGGAGATGTGTGCGTGCGTGCTTATCTGTGTGTGTGTGTGTTTGTGTGCACTTGTGTAAGACTCTCTGTATGTTCTCCTGATCCTGGCCCTGTAGATTAAAGGCCCCAGAGAGGCCCAATGTGCATATTATTAATGACATTGCTAGGAAGACCTTTTCCTTAAAGCTTTTGTTTGCATAAGGAAGGCTGTCAGCGTTGGGCAGATAGATGTATTACAACAAGAAAACCGATGCCCTTGAATTCCTGCTAGGACACCCCTATACCCTGAGATTCATAGGCAGTTGTAGGAAACCCTGTCGCTCCCATTTCGGATGCCTACCAAATCCAGGCTGGGATGGAGCTGAGGGTTTGCTGGTCTGGGAAGGTGCATGAACGTATTGCTTGTTCCTTCCTGCTGCAGCTCTACCCCAGACATCAAAATATATCTAGATGGGCCTGGGATGTAGCTCAGTGGCAAAGCATCTGCCTTGCATTTGCAAAGCCCTGGGTTCGACCCCCAGGTCCAAACAAACAAGCAAACAAAATATATCTAGATGGATTGAGCCAAGCCCTAGGGCCAGGGGTGGGGAAGGATAGGTGGTATGTGTGTGTGTGTGTGTGGGGGGAGATCCACAGGCTAAGAAGGCATCTAGAAATGAACTTCTTTGTGGAAAGATTCTTGTTTCTCTGGGTAAGAACACTGTCAGCAGTGAGCAAGCTCAAGTCACATCACCTGCTGCAAACCCCCTTTGAGACAACTTGGTATCAATCTGCTCTTGAATTTGCACCTAGTCTCACTCCTGTGGTGGGTGGCGGT